TGTGAAACAAAGCAAACCAATATTACACCATGTCTACACTGGACGCGAGTGGCGCAGCGCGAAAAAAAATACTATAGAACTCATTATAATCAGTGATGCTGTCTACACCATAGATATAGCCTATATACATATCTATAGTCTACACTGGATGTGGCGCGGCACGACAAATCCGCAATAGAAAACTGCTGCTGTGTTCTATTCATGACATACTGACACAAATTTCAAATGATTTTCAACGGTCGCTTTGTCGCGTCCAGTGTACTAGACAGACTTTAGCTGTTGGGGCGCAGACACGGTGTTACTCACCTATCGAGAAAAAACAAAGCAACCTCGGCGTCCAATCGCAGGCCTTCCTCTTCTTGAGTTCTCTTCAGTGCTGGAAAGCTGATCCGATATTTACACGGGTCCTACTTCTTGCCTTAAGCCTTCTTTTGTTCCGTAGACGTTTTCCTCTTTTGTTTTTTATCCAATCTCTATCTTTCTGTCGCTCGGCTAATGTCCGTCCAGTGCACTGAACGCTCTCTCCTCCACATCATGAGTAGACACGCCCCTTACTGCTGATTGGCTACAAGTTTGTTTTGCTATTCGGCCCGAATCAGTTTTCTAAAGCGTTTTTGAAAAATCGCTTACCCCACCTTTAATTGTTCCAGCGCACATTTAAACTTGATTACTTTTGTGATTTTATGTTGCGTTTTTGGTGTATTTTATTTTACTATTCTTAGTCACAGCATGACCACAGCATGAAAATGCCTTTATATGCCTTTGTAACAAAATAAATATTGCATGTTAAGTAATGCTTAATCGATTACAGAAATGTTATTAAATTTTAAGATGTTAAAGTGTAGTCTTGTTTAACATTATGTAATCATTCAAAATGAGTTGGCAGCAGGAATTACACAGAACAAAATAAATGTTTTCACAATGCATTTGATATGACAACTGAATATGATATAATAAAAATGTTAAAGGGGGCATCGGATGCAAAATTCACTTTTACATGGTGTTTGCATATAAATGTATCTTAGCAGTGTGTGGACACAACCACCCTACAATGATATAAATCTGTTCACTCCTTTTTTTTATCCCCCCAAAAACTAAACACTCTTAATTATCAAGTTGTTTTGATTTTCTGAGCAGTATGACATCACACTGCTCAGGCCCCGCCTACAACAACTGACCGACTGTCCCGTATTAGCATATCTCCACCCTCAGACAGTTGTACACTGTCTGCCATTTTCTCCACACTCCAGCAGCTGTAGTGACCACAATGTCTTGTAAGCAATGCAGGTGTTTTGTAATTGGATGTAAATGTGAACATAAGAGTCTTAATTTTCTCCCAACATCAGAGCCACTGAGGACGCAGTGGATTTGTGTTGTTTTTGATGGTAACATGCCACCAAATACAGAAAAAAATAGAAGAGAGAGGTGGAGTGAGCAGCAGCTCATTATAATTTAAAGAGAGATGCGCAGAAACAGGTTGCTGTGAACACAACCATTGAGGAATTTTAACCAAAGTATGTTGCAGACATTTCATGAAGACCCTGAAGATTCATACCAGCTTGTGGAAAATGGTCATCCGATGTCTGCTTTAAGGCCATTATTTTAATATTCATAAAGTTGTTCATATGAAAATTTGCATTTTAGATGTCAGTATGTCAATATTGAACATTTAGATGCTGTCAGTATGTCAATGGTGTATGTTAGGTATTTTATTCATTCTAATGTAAACATAAGGGTCACCCCCGGGTGCTTTACGACCGACTACTGTCATCTTATCTGAGCGCAAAACACTGCTCGGGAGAGTTTCAAGATACTAAAAATAATAAATACATAAAATGATATACACTTGTTTATGTGTTTATTCTTGTTGGCAGTATTTTAATAGTATCTAATGATTATCAACAAATTAAGCATTAGAAAAAAAATTTACACTTTCCCCACTGCTAACAGAATTTTCCAGCTTTCCGTGTTTCAAGAAGAGAAGAGGCGTGACATGTGGCTAAGTATGATGACCTATACTCAGAACTTGTGCTGTGCATTTAACCCAGTAGTGAACACACACACACACCGTGAACAGTGCCCTATAGCAGTGGGCAGCCATTTTGCTGTTTCACCCAGGGAGTAGATGGGGGTTGGTACCTTGCTCAAGGGTCTCACCTCAGTCGTGGTATTGAGGGTGGAAGAGAGTGCTGGTTATTCATTCCCCCCACCGACAATTCCTGCCAGACCTTGAAACCACAACCTTTGGTTACAAGTCCGACTCTCTAACCATTAGGCCACAACTGTCCCACTGTTTCCACTGTTATATTGTAGGAGGAACTATCCTATCAATCCAGGAAGTGGTATAGGTATGTGCAAGCTTTGCATGAAGCTAGAATAAAACGTTAATGTGAGAGGATTTGTTTCAATGTTAACATCCGTATAACGTATGGTTCATCAAGGTACGGTTCAAATGTTTTGAGGATGGGCTGGAAGCTTTAAAGCTCTGACTCGCTGTGAGCTGTTGGGAGCATTTCCATGGCACTCTATGCCAGCAGACACTATACTTCGGACTGGAGAATGCAAGCACCACTGCCCCGGATCGAAATTTAGACTGTACCCCTGAAGCGGGGAAGTCTGCAAGTGAATTGGAGCAAGTAACCTGGTATTATTGTCCACAGGACCCAGATATGCCTGGAATGACTTCCCAAGCCTGACTCCGGGTGGTGAGGGGCCAGAGCTTTTCGAGCAGCAGACTGCTGCACTGAGGCAGGGGGTTGGTACTCATGCTGCTGTGAAGAGGACTAGTGCTCTCTTTGTAAAGGTGTATGTTTTTTCCCCACTATAACAGTGGTGGGTTGCCTGGGTGTGTGCACATTTAGTGTAATGGATCCAATAGCCGCGTTTCCACTGTCGGGCCAAAAGCGGGCGTGCTAGTGCATGCCAGGGCCATTTCCACTGTCACTTCTGGGGCTTGATCGTGCCTCATCGGTAGAGGTCTGCTACCCGTTACCCGGGTTTCGGGTCGGGTTCGGGTTAATCTTTAATGAATAGCTTCGGGTTCGGGTTGGGCTCGGGTTTATAGCTAAACTAAAACTATATTACGCTGCTTTCATAGACGCACACACACACATTAT